TTGACGCTGACGCTGAGGTCGCTGAGGTTCGACCCCTTTACGACCACCTCTTGACGATTCCCTCGGTATGTGTCGCCCTCTGTATTCTTGTACCCAAAACTGCTTGCTAACATGAGTCCAGACGGTGCTCCACATCATAACCCTCCTCATACTGACCCGCATCTCTGAGTAGCTCAACCAACGCGCCTATGTCGCCGTCTGGCAAAACATATGGACTCTGCCCTGCATCATCGCCCTCCGTTTTTGGCCCGGCGTAATCGACAACGCATGGGGGACTTATGCTCTGATCACTGTCCTCCTATCCTACCCCTACTGCCGTACACACCCCCTCTCCCCATAACCGCCCCCCTCTTTCACAGGCTAACCACCCATTCTCAGACGCAATCAACGTAGCATGGGTCTCCAAAAACGCCAACAACGTCGGCACCCGCACCGTAGCCTCCGCTCTCTACAACGTAAGCCCTCCCCCTTTCCCCCACCCCCCAAAACCACCAACACTAACCCCCCTTCAGATATCCGTCCAAATCGGGCACGTAGCCTACTCCTTCATCTACGTCGAGTCGGACAAGCCCTACTACCGGGACGGCAACACCAAGCTGTTCGCCATCAACCTGCTGTCCATTCTCGTCTTCCTGGGCACCAAGGCCTACTACGTGTACCGCAACCGGGCCAAGGAGGCGGTGTGGGCGCGGATGAGCGCCGAGGAGCGCGCGGCCTACGTGCGCACGAGCGATGTCAAGGGGTGTAAGCGGTTGGATTTTCGGTTCGCGCATTGATTTTTGTCCTTTTCTGGGTTTTGGGGGGGTGGACTCCCGACTCGCTCCCGTCAGAGAGGGAGAGTTGGAAGAACAAGGGGGTCGTTGATGAAAGTGCTAATAGTGTGGTTCACGACCTACCCAACTATTTGAGATAGTGTATACGTCGGTGTCGCCACTGCAGAAGGCGGTGGGTGTGAAGCCAGGAAGCTTCGTTCTAGTTATTGCCCTTGCGTATGTGAACTTGACTGTAATCGGATGATTCCCCCGATTGCGATGAACTGTAGGATCAAAGTTATCTGAACTACAAACAATGTGGTTAGATGCGATGACTTTCCCACCTTAACATATTTACTTCCTCTTACCTAGCATTCGTACCTATGTTAAAATCCGAAACACTGACGACTTCGGCTGGAAGAATGGGTTTTCGACCGACGAAAAACGCCTAACCTGAGCGCATCTGCTATGTGAGAGACAAGTGTGAGAGACAAGTGGCATCAAGGCGAGGCACAGGGGCACTGCAAGTGCCGACTCAATTCTGCTAATCGTAAGATGGGGAGAAAGGAGGAGAAGCTGGAAGATGGATGGATGGATGGAATTTATTTCGCCCGGAGGCACTGGGCCTATAGGGCCTTAGTCACGCTAACTACATCCGGATCAAATCGTTTTGCCTTTAACTCGTACAAGCCCCCCTACTTCTTCCCTCTTTCTCGCTGCACCATTTACCAAATGCAAGAGCAGGTGGCAGCAGAGCAGCTCAGTGACCGGTTTTGTCCACGTGTCTAGCGTCCGATCGGCAGCAGCTTAAAGCGGCACATGCTACGTGAAACATCAATAGTTGCAGTCTAACAATGACTATGTCAACCAGTCACTTTGGCGGAGATCGGTTAACGCGCTGCCCTGCTAACTTTGCTTAGCAGCTCCAGGCAGTTGCCTTCGGGAGCGTAGGTTCGAATCCTACAGGTGACGCATCACTTTTTCTTTTTCCTCGGTGCAAGTCCACCATCAGCCTGCAAAGCAACAAGATCGCCGCTGTTCAATATTATTAACTCGCTAATTAGCTATCTTGAGCGCTCGGAATACTAAAAAGAACCTCCTTTTCCTCGCCTCATTTGCCTCAGTTCTTCCGTTTAGGCAGCTTCTTTGAGGGTGGGTATCCTCTGAGCCTCCGTGGCTCCGGCCGTTCGATGTGACCTTCTGCTGTTTTGGGCCGCTCAATATGGTTATTCGCTGATTCGTGCCCTTCAGCGAGCCTTCCCGGTGATCTGGGCTGCTCTGTGCAGGCCTCCACAGGCTCCGGCCGTTCAATGTGATCCCCTGGTTCTCTAGGCTTGTCGATGTGGTAATGTGGTTTACCATCATCTCCTGCTTGTCCGTTCTCAATGGGTCCGTATGTGAACTCGGACCGTTCAGGGTGGGCATCTGTTGATTCGGGACGTCCAGCATGGTCTCCTACTAATCCGAGTTGATGGGTGTGAACCTCTGCTAGCGCACACAGAGTTTTGATGTCGACGCAGGTCGGAACGCCCTCCTCTCTCTCCCCATCCTGCGTCTGATACGCCTGTCCTGCATACTTTAGGTGTGCGTCCATTACTTCCACCAACTCCGGCATAATCAACTCATGTGCCAACCCCAGCGCAAAGTCCCTGGCCCGGGTTGCGGCCTCGCCGACGATCCCCGAACCCCCAGTAGCAGAACGGTTCGGGTCCGGAACCGGGATGATCCCAACCTCAGCGGGTTTGCGGAACACATATTGCAGGTTGTCGAACGGATACTCGAGTCGACCAAATGCTTCAAACCCAAACTTGCGATACCAACCCACTAAATTTGAGGGTGCAATCGCAATACCGTAGGCCTTGTTGGTGTCCATTTCTTCGCAGATTTTCGACAGAACAAGCGTCCCATGTCCTTGACGTTGATGATCAGGGTGAACAATCAGGTGAGATATCCCTATGCATTTGAGAACGGTCAGTAAGCTGGGTCTCCGCAGCAGAAAGAGAACCTGACTCACGGCAGATCAAAGCATTGGGGTCATTCAGGCGCTCAACAATCTTCTGTCGTTCGTAGTTCGTTGTGGCCACTAGCCGGGTGAGGTTTTCGACGTTTGGCAGGGCTGGTGCTCCGATTCCCATGGGTGTTCTCACGCACAGCCCCCCAGCAGTAATGTCGGACGCGGCTCGGGCGACGTTCCCGGCAAGTATCAACGTACTGGCTCGTTCCCAAAAGACCGCCCAGTACGCCTGTGGCCCTTTCCCATCAACAACCTTGTCCTAGCTGTGTCTCAGGGCGTGGCGACCACTTTCCGACATGCGTGCCAAACCCAAGGCGTACCACATCGCCACTTCCAGGATCTCCATCGAGATGTCGGATTGGCTGCTGTCATGCCTGAGAGATGGAAAGAGGATGTGGGCGACGGATTTCGTCCCGTGGACGGCCAAGTCTTGTTTGATGGCCGGAACAAACAGACCATAGGCGATGTTGACCATGTCCCCATACGAGAGAGTGTGCGCATTGCGAACTTGCCGGCCAGGTTGAGAATCGCCGCCGAGGCTGTGAATAAACAACACGGGCCTCGTTACAAGAGTAGCACCTGCAGACGAGGAATAAAACAGCAGGCGTGAGTCGACTAACAGTGCCCTGAGAAAGTCTGGACGTCATCGCTGCCATTGGCGAGGATTGATGGGGCATTGCCGACGTAGCGCTTGCGAAAGTGATCTCGGAGTCAACAGATTTGCTTTCGCTGTCCTCGTCCAAGGACCCATTAGCCTGGTTGTTGACCGACTCTGAAACAGAGGCACTGTTGTGCCGAACCTTGTCGAGGGGGCGGTTCTTGTCTTCGACGGGATCCCCGTTGCCAGGGGAGGTTGGCGTGTTTGATGACATGTTGAATACCTAATATGAAGGGTGGAAATGTTATCAAACACTTAGGGTATGCGGATAGTTAGAGGTTTTAGGTGGCACGAAGTTATTGTTGAGAAAAGTTAAGCAAATGGGAAGTTTATTTGGGATGGAGGGACTATTAACTTCCCTGTTGAGGTGGAATTGACTTTCGTGTTCGGTGACCTCGTTCTTTCCTGGGGAGGACGAACCAACTATCAGAGAAGGCATGGCCATCATCTCACATGCTCTGCGTAATTACCCGCACATGTTCCAACACATTCAACCCAAAGAAAGCCAAGATGGCCAGCAGCGAACCCATTAAATAATTAAAGAGTACCTCGCTAATAATAAGCCAGACTACTGTCATATAAATCCCCAATTATTACCATCATTATAAACCTCCTTCCCAAATTTCACCCCCTCATCAACCACCATCCACCGCTCAAGGCAGCTCAATCTTGAGATCCAACTTCCGGCTGCTCTTGCCCACAAACGCCGTCTTTTTATGCTCACTGACCACCCAGTCCTGCACCTCAATATCCCAGTTGCTCAGATCCCTCCTAGTCAGCCGGCCCGTGAACTGCTTGGTCTCGCCGGGGTCGATGCGCATGCGGTCAAAGTCGCGCAGCTGGACCTTGGGGTCCTCGGGCCCGCCGAGCGAGACGTACAGCTGGGGCACCTCCTCGCCGACGATGGCGCCCGTGTTGGTGATGTCGGCCGTGATGGTGTACATGATGTCGTACAGCTGGCGGTTGCCGCCGGGCGAGTTGCCGCCCGACGACCGGAGCAGGGGTTGCGCGTCGGCGTCCAAGACGTGCGGCGGGAGGAATTCTTCCGCGGTCTGGCCGTAGTGCGGGTCCGCGGAGGCCTTCTTGGCGTCGGTGGTGTTGACGTAGGGGTAGATGTACTGGTAGATGTAGGAGAAGTCCTCCTTGGGGAAGAGGTAGTCCTTGAGGTCGGTGGAGAAGTTGCCAAAGGTGGGGGCGGCGGCAGTACTGCCGGTCGTGGGCTTGTACTCGCCGGCGTTGGACTTCTCGACGCGGATGTTGCTGTATTCGAAAGTTGTGTAGCTGAGGCCGTGGCCGAACTCGTAGATGACCGAGGAGTTCTGCTTGTCAAAGTAGCGGTAGTCGATGAAGACACCCTCGCTGAAGTCCTGCTGGGGCGCACCGTTGCCGTTGTTGGGCTCGTAGAGAACATCGGCTCCGTAGGACTCGCGGGTCTTGCCCCAGGTGAAGGGCGAGCGGGCGGCGGGGTTTACGTCACCGTAGAGAACATCGGCGATCGAGTTGCCCGACTCCTGGCCGGGGAGACCGGCCCAGAGGATGGCGGTGATGTTGGGGCTCTCATACCACTCAGTCAGAAGAACGGGGCCGGTCGAGTGGATGACGACGATGGTGTTGGAGCAGGCCCCCGAGACACGCTTGACCAAGTCGTCGCCGTTCTTCCAGAGAGTCAAGTTCTTGCGGTCACCCATGTTACCGTCCACGTTGATGTATCCCTCACCGGAGTCGGCGTTGACAAAGACAATCGCCGTCACGTTGGCCTGGGAGACGAGGGCATCCGTCTTGTCGTGCGCATAGTTGGAGAGGATGCTCTCGTAGCGGGAGCCGTCCTCAATAGCCCGGGCCTGAAGCGCGGCATCGGGGGTGACAAGGTACGGGAAGTTGGCCGTGCCGGAGCCCCAGCCCATGGCAAGGGTGCCATCATCACAGCCGCGGTCGCTGCAGCCGTTGGGTCCGTTGGGGTTTCCACCAGCATCCTCGCCAATGACGGCTACGAACTTGGGCTTTTGCAGCGGCAACGCGCCGGAATTCTTCAGCAGCACGGTACCCTTGGCGGCGATCTCGCGGATGAGCTTGCCGTGATCTTCGCGGACATCGACGTGGGAGTTAATCTCCTGGTAACCCTCCTTGGCAACCCAGTGGACCGGGCCGTACGTGTCCAGAGTCCAGAAAGAGAAGTTGATGGGGTCAAAGTCGGTGGTCTTGCTGACCTTGAAAATGGAAGCCATGATACGCATGGCCATGTCATCAACGCGGTAGGCAGGGACAGTGCCGTTGAGGACGGCGAGGGTCAGGTTAGTGCCCCAGAAGCTGAGGCCGGTGTTGAACGATGTATCACCCGGCATGGTCATGTCGAGGCCAGCGACGGCGCTGGCTGCGCCGGTGTGCTGTGCTTGCCAGTCGCTCATGACGAAGCCCTGGAAACCGAGCTCGTTCTTGAGCAGGTCGTTCAGGAGCTTGGAGTTTTGGCAACCGTACGAGTTGTTAACCTGCTGGTACGAGCACATGACCGAGCCGACCCCGGCACGGACAGCATCCGCAAAGGGCCAAAGGTAAAGCTCGTGCATGGTCTTGTCGTCGATGTTCGAGGACAGCGTCTCGCTAATGTTGTGCCCGTAGCCCTGGGCTTCTCCCACCTGTCTGAAGTTCTCTGGATAGTCGTTAGCGTGGAGGATTGCTAGGATGCAACTCGTCACAACTGACCTTGCTCGTTGCCGATGAAATGCTTAGCACAAGCAACAACGCCAGCATCCTGGGTGCCCTTGACGGTCTCGGACATGCCGACACCGGTGAGGACGGGATCGGGGGCGAAGCCTTCCCAGTTCCGGCCGGCAGCGGGCATACGTCCGAGAGGGCCGGCGACAGGCCCGAGCAGGACGTTGATGCCCTTGCCCTTGGCTTCTTTGCCCATGGCATAGCCACGGCGGTACATCAGGCCTCTGTCCCACGTGGCAGCGGCAGTCTGGCCGGAGGGGAAGGCCGAGTTGTAGTCTGACCCACGGATCCCGAGAGGGGCATCGTGCATGCACAAGCTCCGGAGGCCGAAGCGAGGGATGGCACCCGTCTGGCCGACGCACTGCTCCCCTTGCCAGCTGTACTCTCGTTAACAAGGCGGTTCCAAAAGCAGTAGGCAGCTTCCGCACTCACCCAACACCAGTGGTCAAGTTGACCTTCTCTGGTAGCGTCAGCTGCGAGACGAAGTCCCTAGCCTGGGCATAGGCTTCCGCCCATCCATCGGCGTCCGGGTTCATCCATGGGGACGGGTAGTGGGGGTCCGACGTCTGAAGAGCCCTCTTTTGGATCTGTTCACGGTCGTTGTTAGCAAATGAAGCCGTCGCTGGCAGGGCTAACACCCATTGAGCGGCAGATTTGAGCTGCATGTTGGCTGCGGGCTGCAACGTTCAACAAGGCCGCCAATATGGGTAAACAGATGTTGCAGAGAGGAATCTGCCGTAAAAGCGGTCTCGCAGCTGGATCAATGATCAATCCGGAGCACCCCACCAGATCGGATGCTAGCGAGTAATTGCACCCGCACCACCCTGCAAACTTGGCGAAATTACGTGTAGGAAAAAGGTAAGGGGAGAAAGAAAAGCAAGACGGCTTCATACCTTGTTTGCCGGGTTAATTGTGCCCGCAGCAGCAAGACTGCCGCCAGCGAGGCAGGAAAGCGCAGTAGCAGCTTTCATGTTGAACCGCGTAACTTGGTGTGTGATCTGACCGTGTTCAGCTTACACGAGGAGCAGTTGGGCGACCTGACAGTTTAGTGATGGGGAGAGGCAGAGATCACCGCCGGGACGAGGCTCGAGGTGAGACATGACGCAGGCTTTTGGGTGACATACTTGTGCATATATACATAAATCTTTCCCGGGATCGCAAGATTGGTCTTGTTCAGAGATCGGCCCTCCTCTTGCAGGGCAGCAGAGCAGCGGCAGGGCAGCAGGGAGCCGTTGGACCGTGCCAAGTCGCTCGGGTCCCTTGCCGGCAGCGTGGCGAGAACGGCTGCCAGCCCTGGCCTTCGCGTATGAACAATGTGGACAATGTGGGGTCCTGCCAGATCCATCTGGGCCGGCAGTCTTCTCCGCATGTTTGCATTCCCAAGAGGCGGGGAGAACTCTGTGTTGCATTCGCCAGCTCTCGACCTGACGAGTTCGGGTGGCCGTGCTCGTACCGTGGTTGGAAACGGGCCGATCTGGTCGGGGCACAAGCAAGGGTGAGAGCTCTTTGCAAGCTGCATTGAACCCTGTCGTGCTTGGCATTTAATACCGCGGGGAAAGATCGCCGTCACGATGAGAAGTCAGGCTCAATTCACCACCGGAACCACCCGTGAAATTGGAGTCGGTTTGTAAAATCCGTTTCCACCACGTGCCGCGCAGGTGGGAACTCGCAAGGCGCCGGTTGCGGTCGTTTCCTGCCAGGTTACGGTTCCATCGAATGTCACGGAATGACAGTCAGCATAACTTCCACCTGCGCACGTTGAGAGAGACCTGCCTAATACAGGTACGTGTCGGCCATTGCTTCGGCGGCGTTACGTTTTCACGACGCAGCTAAGTCTGTCAACTACATAGTGTATGTATGAGATACTGCGTCGTAGTACCTAATTGATGCCGCATGAAAACGCGGGCTGGTGCCGGAATTCCCGAAGCCGCGATGTTGCCCCGTCCCAAAAACCAATGCAAACATCCAATATGGGGATCGGCGTTGGCGTACCTTGATCCGTTCGCTGACAGTACACAGTAGTTATTCAGGAATCGTACGAAATAGTGTACATAACCTCCCGATTATCCTGTTTGCACAACCTTCAATGATGAAAACGCGTCCCCCGCTGCGTATGTACATATCGGGGGTTTTGACCCTCGCATCTCGTGAGAACTTGGAATAGCTCAATGGCTGTCGCCTGGTGGTGATGTCAGTCCCGATCCCAGAGATGAATGGTAAGGTCCCCGCAGCTTCCCCACACTCTCCCAACCAACTCCAACTTTCCCCGCGGCCCACCACCCCGCAAAACTCGCAAGCTCCTGGTCCCAGCAAAGCCACGAAATCTGCCGTGACACCGTGAAGACAAACTCCAGCCGCGCCAGTACCCTTGCCTGTCCACTCTGTCTTGCCTGTGCACAATATCGGCCCTTTTCTACATGTACTCCGCTGTCGAGGCCCGCTGTGTGTGGGCTACGCTGGGCGAAAGTAACAAATTGAGAACAAGCAGCGAGAAGCAGCTATCCTCAACACGGTCGTATTCCAAGTTTCTGTCCCACCCGCCATCGTTCCACCGCCTTACACCGCAGCCTGCGTGGACCCTAAAGGGCCAATACCGTAGCAATCGAAGGGACGGATCAGTCTTCTTCCCCTTCTTCCCAAGTACTTGGTTTGTTCCTGGTCCAACTCCTCGGCCTTGGGAACGGAGATCCGGGCCGTTCAGGCAAAACCACGGTTATAGTTGCGGGACGATCAGTTTGACTCACGGCTTATTCACCTTGACACGACTCCAGGGCTCCATGAGGTATCCGCAAGCTTAGTCAAAGGTAGGGAGTTACTCGTAACTACAATAAACAATCCTTACTACGTACAGAGGTGCCCTCTCCATGGGGGCCCTAGATGGGTCCATTGACGGCTTATCCCGCGTTTTACTCCTCCTGGTCCACCGCCGGCGTCCAACCCGTCTTCAGCACCTCCCTCATCTTCTCAAGCACCGGTGTGTAAAACGCAGCGTGGACAATGACCTGCTCCTCGGGCAAAGCCTCCCCAAACCGGCCCATATCAATCATCTCCTCCGCAGGGCCCTTCCAATCCCGAACATCCTCCAGCAGGCACACCGCATCAAAAGTGCGAACACTGCTCGAAAACACCGAGTCCCGCTCGTTGTGGATCGCCACCGGCCGCCACTGCACACGGTCCCGGTCCTCAACCGCCTTCTCATACCGATACATCATCCACACGCTCTTGCGCGGGCCCGTCACATCCATAAACACCAAAAAATTCGTCGACGCCACCTCGCCCGGCCCGTCCGACGACCGGCAGGCGCGATACACCTCACCCAACGGCACCACGTACTTGGGCGGGTGGAAGGCGCGGAAGGCGTTGTTGGTGGCCGCCGCGCAGCGCTGGTCCAGGTAGGTCTCGTAGCTGTTGAGGTTCTCCACCTCCTCGCGGGCCACGCCGGGCTGGCCCGCGGGGCGGCTATCTGGGTTGGGGGCCAGCGTGGTGCTCAGGCTGCCGCCGACCTTGAGGAAGTAGCAGATCTTGGTGCGGCGCGTGGGCGAGTCGGTGCAGAGCGGGAAGTCGAAGGACACCCGGCCTTTGACGCACTTCTTCAGGCTGAGGAACTCCTCGTCGGAGCGGCAGTCCCTGCGCTTGATGAAGGCGAGGAATTCGCGCGCCCAGCGGAGGTCGGTGGCGTTGTTGGGGTTGTTGTTGTCGGCCGGGGCTGAGGGCAAGGTCGACGGCGCGGCGCTGTTGGCGGCGGCTTCCCCTTCTTCCTGCTGCTGTTGCTGCTGCTCCTGCTGCGGCTCTTGTTGAGGGTGTTGGGGAGACTTTTGGGCCTCTGGCCGGGGGCGGAAAACAGCCGTGGAACGGGCTTCTAGCGACGGCAAGGAGGCTGCCCGACCCGGGCCGCTCTGGCTAGCACCCGCGGGATTTAGGTGCGCCGTCTTCGCGCGTTTCGATGATTCGCCCTGGCTGCTGGTTTGGTTGGGTTGAACCCGCCGCTTTGGAACTCGGGCTGCCATCTCAGCAACGCTGTTGGGTTCGTCCGTCGCATCATTGTGGGCACGGTCATTTTTCTGCTGAGGCCGGAGGTTAAACCCCTTGGTCGATAGTTGGTTCGCAAGCTGCTGGCGGGCGACCGAGTTTATGGGGTCGGCAGCGATGGATGGGATGGGTGCATCTGAAACAGCGGGCACTTCGCTATTCGGATTGGCAGCAGTAGGAACTGGGTTGGTCACAGCGGCCGCCACAGCCTGAGGCCTCCAAGCTGAGTTGTTGGGGTTAGCCTAGGAGGTAGGATAAGTGCCTAGGGGGGAATACGTCTTACCCTTCAGTTCCTTCAAAATATGGGCGAGAGTCTGGGCGTTCTCATCCACCTTGGCCTCAAGGCGGATACGCTGCTTCTGCTCCTCCTCTGAACGTTCTTCCAACTGATCCAGGCGGTACGCCAGGTAGGTAGTCTGGGCTGACTGTGCCGTGTTGTTCGTTTCTCTGTACCCAAAAGAGTGAGGAGACGGTCGGGCTTGCTGGCCGTGCTCCCAGTTCGGTAGCCCATGAGTTATCTCAGCGACTTGGGAGTTCCGGGGGCGGTATTGGTGCGCGTGAGGGTTAAAATAAGGAGGGCCTTGAAAAGCCGCTCCGGCCGGCGATCCTTGAAAAGGCGCAACAGGGGGCGGCTGCCAGTCGGTCGCCGGGAGACCGTGAGCGAGCCCCTCATCCATGTGGGCATTGTAAGGAACGTTTTCAACTCTTCTGTCTGCGAAGCCTGCTGGCCTAGTAGATTATGAATCGTTAGCGAACCGCCAGTCGGACGCCGGTGCAAACACGGGGAAAGCCGGCCGACTAGGCCAACCCGCTGGGTGGAGGACATTTGATTTACCTTCGGGATTAGTGGTCCACTGAGACATTGCGAAGGGCCTGTCTTCGACCTCGTTTTCAATGTGTTGATGCTGCCTCTTGTCCAAGGCGGGGGGTCAGCTGTAGTCGTGCGAGGTTGGGGAAGATGGTTCAGGTCGCGACCCGGCGCGTTGTATCGCGAAGGGCTTTCGGGCTGAGAAAAAAGGATGGAATCCTCGTAAAGCAAGCTGGTTTTTTCTTTATTGAGAAACGTACGCCTGATGTTTAACGCGTGGCTGAAAAGGAAGTAAGAGAATGGTGATGCTGCCACGACACCAGGCAGAATATGAGGGAAAGTGTTTTTGGTGGGTGAAGAGAATGCAAAAAGGGATGGATCGCAGGAACACAAGTGGTGGAATCAAAACAAAACCGAAAGATCACATCGACATAGAACCTTCCGGACCGTTTGGGATCGTGGGGAACGCGGTGTGAAAGACAGAGGGCGTACGGAGCCGGAGCGGGGGCTCAGGGGCACAGCTCTGAGCCGGCTGTCTGTGTGAATCAACATGCCCAGGTCTTAGCGGAACCAGCATACAATTAACATCAGTTTGCCAAGTTGAAATCACGTCCATTGAACTCAAAGAGCAACAGTGATGGCCAAATGAACCCAAATAATAGATATGCCAGCTTATTCTTTGCTGAGGGTCTAATACACAGATTCAGCTTCATCAAAGCCATGCATATGGAAAACGCCTGATAAAGGACGCCTAACCTCATTATTTAGCCATCCTAATTTTGTTTGATCCGTTGTGTTGATTAAGACAAGCTGGGCAACGCCGCTCCAAACTCAGAATTGAGTTGAATCTCTGGCTTGCCTGTCTAAAGGACCAAGACCAGAATCGACTCCTCCCCAGTGACCCCGGATTACTCCCATCTACACCCATGGTGCGCTTAGCTCAGTAGAACAATGATCACACTGTCACCACGCAGGAACCTATTCTCTGTTAGCATTGGATGATCATACAACGGGGGATGAACTGCTTACATCTTGCTGATGAAACGATCTTTGTTGACCGGCCGCCCCTTCTTGCCATTGTGCACTGGGGTTTCAGTCCACATCTCTTTCTGTTCCACCGTGCGTTAGTACCTCTTTCAAACTCATTATCACAAATTTGAGAGCAGGAGTTTGGACTACTGCTGCACTTACAACGTTCTCCAGAATCCTATCAAAGAGTTAGCAAAATGGCCCATAGTAACCAAGAAAAAAAGAGATTTCTTACATGTTGCAGTGGCGGTCAAAAGCCTTGACTCTCGCAAGCCTAGGCACCAAAAACATTAGTGTTCTGTCCCAAACTGACCCAGTTGCACCCAACCAAAACTCACAGCTTGCGATTCGACCGGATGCTAATCAGCACCTGCGAGTGACTCCGCACAGCCGTCTGCAGCAGCGAGAGAGGTCCGTTGCTCATCTCCCAGTTTTCCTGCACACACACCGTCAGCCACACCAGCCTTCCACAGCCTCTGAGCTTCCTTCCCAGAGGCCAGTTCCCCACAACATACCAGCTGGGCGATCTCATACTCCCTATCATAAAGCAACAGTCAGAATTTCTCTCCCCAGACAACAACGTTATGGGCAGCGACAGTAACTCACGTGCACTCGTTGCGAGGCTTCTGGAGGAGGGCCCTATCGGAATCGTCAGCAAAATCGGTCGGTGGGCGCTTGGTAAATGATGGCAACGCACTGGATATTGACGTCTGACATCTTGTCGATGGTTTGAGGGCGACTTTTTGGGGTTTATGGGTTGCCGGTGGGGAGAGTCGATGAGATGAGAGACGGAGTGGACTTTTTGGATGTTTGATGTTGAGAACGGTGATGAGCAGCAGGTTGATGGGACCCACATTGACGCGAGTTGGCAAGCTGGTCACGTGAATTCAATATTCACCGCCTTTCAAGTCAAGCATCGTTCTGCCCCCTTGCAACCACAAACACCCACTCTTCTTTGTCATATTTGAAATCATTGTGAGGAAGGGGGGGGGGGGTTGAGTTGCTTATGGTGTTTTTGTCCAGGAAACTTTTCAGTGAAAGGATAGACATGGAAGCTCGTTTTTTGGGTTAAATTGGGAGAACTGTTTGTTTAAAAAGACCGAGACATGATTTCAAGCAGACTCCAAGGAACATCAAGCTATTGTGGCAGGAGCAGGATTGAAGTACAAATCGTGATTACATTTACTATACCCAAGAGACAGTATTACTCGTTGGTAAATCCAGAGTTCCCCTTAGCACGCACTTTTCCCTGATCCACCTCCTCCAACCAGGGCCATTCACCCAGCCCCTAATACCCAAGACTACCACCATCATTTTGCTTCCTACTCAACCCCTAGTAAACATACGGCACAATCCTCGACCGAACAATAGCCTTGTACTTCTCCCAATCCTCGCCGTACTTGCGCGAGCATTTCTCATCATCCCGACGATCACGGTGAATAAGCAGCACCGCAAAGTACACCACATAAAAGTACGTAAAGATGACACCCCAGCCCCTCGCATCACCAGGCACCACCTCGCGCCCATCCAACATCCTCACCGCGCCCTCGGCGGCGCTGCCCGCGGACAGGATGGTGTACCCGGCCAGGCCCGTGGGCAGGGAGTAGGGCCAGGCCTGCAGCCAGTCGCCAAAGTAGTTGATGTGGCGGGCGATGCCCCACCAGCCGGACACGAGCAGGCGGGTGCCGGCCTTGGTCTCGATGTACTTGAGGTGGGCGACGGCGGGGTCGTTGGGGTTGGTGCGAAACGCGTTCTTCTGGCTGTTGGACAGCCGGAAGATGGCGAAGGCCGCCACCACCAGCGCGCCCACGCCCGCGAGGCCGAGCGTGCCGAGCGTCTGGGGGTGCACGGACAGGTAGCGCGTTTGTTGGGTGTAGATGAAGGGCACCCAGACCAGGTCGCCGAAGGCCAGCATAAGTCCGAAGCCGTCCGTGGTGATGTCGATGGTGGTTAGGATGGCGGGCTCCATGAATTGGCCGTCGAGCACGTAGAGCGCTTGCACGACTGTGATGAAGACGATGCTGTCGGTGACGAAGCCGAAAGTGCGATATTGCTTGGCGATGAAGGCGCAGTTGAGCAGGATCCAGCCCGTCAGGCCGGGGCGGATCTCCATCCATTCCTTGAGGTCGATCTCGCCGATGAGGGGGAGGGTGACGCGCGGGTTCAGCTCACGGCCGATGAACCAGTCGTAGAGCATGTTGCCGGACACGCCACCCGCTGCGAGCGCGCGGAACTGGGGGTTGCCGTCCTTGACACTGAAGCTGCGGATGTAGACAAAAGTGGCGAGGGCGTACGAGATGAGGATGTTGACGGACAGGATTTGTAGGTAGTTGTCGCTGATGAAAGTCCACAGGGGAAACTCGGCGCCCTGAGCGTAGGTACCCGCGGCGCAGATGGCCAGGGTGAACATGGACGAGGCGAAGGCTGCGCAGGTTAGTTACCAGTCTCCTCCGAGCAATGGGACACCATCTCAACTAACCATTGAACTTGTACTTCAGCCGACCGCCGTTGGCCAGTTTGGTCCCTTCCGTTTCCGTCCCCGGCAGGATCCTATACAGCACCGCGCTGAAGAGGTAGTATGCCAGTGTCCACTTGGTGGCCTCCCAGCTGACGAGACCCTTGATTCCATCCTCTGGCCAGCCTACTTCTTTCTTCAACAGGTCAAAATCGAGCGACTTCGGGTGGAGGAGCGACGGCGCGGGACATCCTGAAATATCGTTGCAGGCGAAGGCGAAGATGTAGATCAAGACGGGCAAGCCGAAGCTGATGACTGCAGCACCGGGACTGAACTTGTTAGTTGAGCGTGGGTTCTAAGGGTACAACGAAGTACTCACGGGCCAAAGAACTCGTAGCCATGAGGCTGGGACACAGCTTGCTGTTTCGATTTGGGCGCCATGTTTGTGCTTCAGGGGCAATTTGTTGGCGCCGTGGCCAGTTGAGGTGTTGCACGTTCTCTTTTATGTTGAGCAACCGCAAAAAGAAAAAAAACCTAAGAAGCGGTAGTTCGCTTGGCAATGACAATATGTCCCTGCATTAGCTCAGCCGGGAGCTCGGATTCCGGATCAGGTGAGTTGCTTGATGCATCCTTGCCGGCAAACCGCGATCCGGGTGGGCTGATGGGCAATTGGCAACGCGACAGGGATTGTGGGCGTCGAGCGGATCGCGCGCGCTGCGGCATCCAATCTTGGCACCCATGTGGCTCGTGCACCGACCCAGCCGTTTTCTTGGATCCGCCGGAACTGTGAATGACGGACCATCCTCGCAAAAGAGAACCTTGATGCTCAGACATAAAGCGGGCGATGAATTGTGCATGCTTCTCCTCTGGTAGTCACTTTACACGCCCGGTGCATTAATAAAAATACGTGGTCTGCCCTAGCTATTGATGGAGGAATTTCCCAACTTTGACCTACCACTATCACCGGCAACCGTTTTCTCTCATGCAAGACCTGATGCAAGGACGAAAAGTTGGCGGCTGCAACTGTGCGCCGCCTGCCAAGCTGCCAAGCACATGCCGCACGCCGCACCAATGAAACCAACACAGCGCAAGCCGACATTATGAACACCGTTGTCCAAGCCGCGTCAGGGGTTTTCGAGATCCATCTTCAACGAACCGCATCCGATTCAGTGCCGACCCGGATGCTGCAGAGTTGACATCACCTATTCTACTAGCCGAAAGCGGCTTCTTTTTGCATGAGAAGCCCCTGCATTTCTCTACGCATCGCCCAGCGCGACAGCGCGCAGCACGACCATCCCGTTTGAAGGCCCACCACCAACCGATCACCATGCTTTCCCCAAGCCCGTCGCGGGGTATTCTCCTCGCTCTCGCCGCTCTTGTTAGCGTATCTTCCGCCGAAGACGCCACTAAGACGGTGTCCGCAACCACGCCAGTCCACACACCATGTGTCGCGACGTCTACCAACGGGGCCTTCTTCGATCTGCGCCCGGACGCCGCCGTGGCTGTCGTCGAGGGAGAAAAGCCACATAAAGGGATCCCCACTGAAGACTACACAGCCAGGGGCTGGGACTATGGGTCAAACTTTACAATCAATGTTTGTAACGCCGTGATCAAAACCGCGGAGGATGTCGTCGGGGTGGATGAGTCGCTGTGGAAGAACATCAGTGCATACTATAAGGCCGACGGAAAGGTCTACTCCTTAGGGTATGGTACTCTCATGATGTGGTCCATGCGGGGCCCATGATGCTGACCATGCGTCACAGGCAACAATCAGACGAGCTCGTCCCCCGCGGGCGCAAACTCGTTCTCCAGTACAAAGGCGGTTCACCATGCGGCTCCTCTGACAAGGACAAAGACAAGCGCGCCAGCGTCCACGAAGGGGCGAGGTACAAGCACTACGAGTTCGATGATGACGACGAAGAGCTCAATCCTAAGAAGCCTAAAGATGATGAGGACGACGAGGAGGATGACAAGAAGGACGAAGACAAAAAGAAGGAGGAAGATGGGGATGGGGACGAGGATGAAGACAAGGAGAAAGAGAAGAACAAACGCCGCAAGTCCGCGACCATCTCCTTCCTCTGCGACCACGACCCCGACACACCCACGGCCTTTTCCTTTGTTGGCACCGACCCGGACGAGTGCGCGTACTTTTTCGAGGTCCGCTCGCGGCACGCTTGCGCCGGCGCCGAGCCCCACAAGCCGGGCAGCGTCGGCCCAGGGAGCGTCTTCGCCATCATTTTCTTCATTACCGTCCTGGTGTACGTCGTGGGGGGTATCTTCTACCAGCGCACCGTGGCGCATGCGCGCGGCTGGAGGCAGCTGCCCAACTATAGTTTGTGGGCCGGGATCTGGAGCTTCATCAAGGTAGGCCCGAGATTCAAGGCGCATGAATACCGCTCGCACTGACCTGTTCGCCTTAGGACCTACTGGTTATCCTGACATCGTCATGCGCCCGGCTCATCCCGAAACGGCGAGGCTACCACTCGCTGTCGGGCTCTCCCAGCGGGAGACACCGTAACCGTGACGACGAGAACCGTCTGATCGACCAGCTTGACGAGGAATGGGATGACTGATCCTTTTACAGCATGTTTGCTTCATTTGGTCTTGACAAGTTTACTTCACGTTCGGCCAAGCCTTGTTTTATTTAGGGGTGATCGGACATTCAAGGAAACAATACCAGTCCTGCGCTGAGGTACTATGCTTTGAAGCGAGAGAATAGCTACTGGCCTCGATCCTGGTAACTTGCTACTTGAAACCGGATAAGTGCGGGTGTCTGGTAATGAATCGGTTATAGAGGCAACTTGAATAGAATCTTTCCCATTTCTCTTGTTGGTTCCCCGCCGAAGATTGGGATTGGACCTCCCCCTCCGCCTCAATGCCTGGGGATGTGTGCTTGGAAGCTTGGCTTAACAACGCCACATATTCTCTGCCACATCACACCAGTCCTCGAGTACGGTAAACTAGCCACGTTACGTGTGCCTGAGTCAGAACTTGTGCGCCCTGTTGTACGAAGCATCTCACGCACTCTTGCTTTTAAAGCCCCCGTGTCCATCTAACCCAGCCCAGGTCAACGACCCCGGATTCCACATACCTGGGGTATCCAAGTTTGGGCACTCCCCACGCGACTTGACAACTTGGCCCACTCCCCTTGCAGCTGCACCCCGCCTTATCGCGCATTCATCGACATCGAATCCTTGCAATCCTCCCCTATCCACTCCACCACCACCTCATTAACACCACCTTATCGACATCACTTTATCAACACTCCCTTATCAAACCGCCATCATGGGCCGCTGGTCCCATCTCGACACGGACGAAGAGCGCCTGCCCGACGGCATGACGCGGGTGGGCTACGACGGCGACACACAAGTCTACACCTACCAAGACAGTGACGGCAGCTACTGGGAGGGCGCGCCGGGCGTTAAGTACGGCCGGCTCTACCGGGTGCAGCAGTCGGCGCCGGTCCTGCCCAGCGCGTACATCACCGGCAACATCACCGGCCACGAGCCACACTACGTGCTGCACGACTACGACCCGGACGCGGACGCGGACAATCGCACCCTCACCGACGAGAACCGCCCGCCTGCCACCCGCTTCTCGCAGATCTTTGGCGAGGACGACGACGACAACTCCAGCGCTGACGAAAAGAAACGCCCCGCCTTCTCCAACCGCCTCCCCTTCTTCCCCTCCAAAGCCGTCCTATCCCCAACCCCCAACCGAAAACCCGCCCCCAAACTCCCCGCCGACCCCGACAGCATGAGCCTCGCATCCACACTCGTCGACCGGAGCGACAGCACCCGCAGCCGCAGCACCACGACCAGCGACCTCCACACCCCCACCCGGCACCAGCATGCACCCGCCAGCAGCAGCAGCGGCAGCGGCAGCGGCACCAATATCGGCGGCAGCAGCGGCGGCGGCGGGCTCAAACGCTCGGGCACCCTCTCGAAACTGGCGCAGTTTATCACCACATCAACATCGGGGATTTCCCGGCGCGCGACGGTAGCCGGTGGGGCGGCGGCAAACCGCCGCGCGGATGCTGCGGGACGGAGGCGTGCGGGCCCGACGATTGGGGCGGGCGGGTGGTTCACGCCGCTGGATGAGCCGTGGCCTGGGCCGGCGCGTAGGTCTGAAGCTGGAGCTGGGGCGGGGGCGGGGGCGGGGGCTGGGGCTGGTGGGGGTGCGAGGGGTGCGAGGGCGAGGAAGAGCGCGACGACGTTTGATGAGATTTTGGGGGGTGGGCAGTGAGTGAATGGCGTTAGGCTAGTCTGATGAGGGTGGGTGGTGGTGGGTTTTGGGGATTGGGAATTGGCTTGAGTTTGCGCTTGGTTTTTCTTTGTTCCGCGACACGGACAGGATCGAGATAGGGATAGGGGTCAGGCAAGGAGTTTTCATTGGATTCGGATTGGGGTCTTGGTTAAAGCTTACCTATCTACACCTACACAACACAATTTAAATAGGATACCCAGAAGGGCATGACAGTAAATTGACAGTATGCTTTCGATGAAGTTGGGAAATGCATCTACTGAAATTGTTTTGCGAACAGCCAACTCAACCTCTCAGCCCGCTTATCCCAGTTAACTCACACATATACTCCCGCTTCAAAGTCGTTTGGCCCCAGTTACATATGGTCGTCGAAATGGAGGAAGCCAAAAAGAAGCCTCTGGGGAGGTAGAAAAAAATGCAAAAGGAATGGGGCTCAATCGGGGATCGAACCCGAGACCTCGCACATGATTTGTTTTCAAATCAGGGTGGAAACCCGAAGCGCGAATCATACCACTAGACCATTGAGCCGATGTGATAGGGTGGTTTAAAGCCATACCTAAATGTGGGTAACCACAAGTCCCACATCGTGTGGAGTCTTCTTTGCCTCTCCTTCGGGCGACACTTGGATCGGTTAATCTTATAAACAAATCAATAACTTAGATCATTCATACCTTATTAAACGGTGCTTTTATTACATTGTAAATGATAAGCAACCCTCCTTTTTTAAATTCCATTGTCACGGGCACAGCCCGTTCCTTGTAGGGTTAGGGTTGCACGGCTTAACCCCGAGGTGGGGTTCTGGTGGTGGGGCTTTACGGGCCGCACGTGGCTCTGCTTTGGTCTGTGCGCAGCCACAGGGTTTTCCCTGAGCGCCAACACATGAGGTACACACCATCCCCGGCCCTCTTTCGACCGGTAGCGACCGGCGGTAAAAATGGTGCTCTCAAGCGTTTTGAGCGCCGGCGTAGGCCGCCTGAAGTCGATACTCGGCCGCGCTCCCCAACAATTACAAACCTTTCGCCCAATTTCCGAGGAGAGCATCGGTCGATTTTGTGATGGAGGTTATCACCCTGTTCGGATCGGAGATTTGTTCAGCGATGGCAAGTACCGAATCGTGAGCAAGCCGGGTTTTGGCGTTTACTCGATTGTTTGACTTGCTTGCAACACGTAGTAAGGCCATTTCGCCTGCACGCCCCATGTAATAAGGGAGCCGGTGAACTCCTAACGCCAGGTACATAACTATAGGACGAAGGGGCATGTTGCACTTAAAGTTCTCACCGCCGACTCTTACGGGCGCCAGCACGATACGTTTGAACTGGATATCCTGGGGTATATCAAGTCCCAGACACCCTCATCCCACCTCGGGTCAGGCCACATTCTCGGGCTCTCGGACAAATTCGGCCATCACGGTCCCCATGGAAACCACCAGCGCCTCGCCTCCCACATTCGGTTCCTCGTGCAACCACACAATATACCAGCTTGCCCCTACCACGGTGACTCTAACCGTGATATCCATAGACCTTATGACTATATCCTTCTTGCTACCCACTCATCACTGAATCTAGATACTTGAAAATATTTCCTAGAACCCTGAGAAAATCAATGATATCACACTTGTTATAGGAAGGATAAGATGTTTAACAGCTCGCAGGGAAGCTTGAAACATTCACATGCCACGTCCAGTCCACAGCAATGCAACCACGAAGTCCAAGTGATGGATATTGTATTCACAGTCGGCAAGGATCAACTATATACATGAATGCTTGTGTGACAATGGGTATAACCCTAACTGGTCGGCGCCACTTAGATGTGGTACCCTTTTACGGATCCCATGAGATCCTTTACAGGCACTGGTAGTAGTGGGGAGCCGAGACGGCGCTGCAGGTCGAGCCGGACTAAACAACAGTCAGCATCCATATTCTCATTGTTACATCTTCTTCAGGAGTAGGCAGGTCAACTTACAGCGCAGTTGGTGCACCCGGTGTAGCCGGTACCGCCGCACTGCTGGTACTTCTGGGACTCGCAGCCGCCGTTGCCACCGCCGCCGTTGCCCGGGTTGGAGGTGGCCGAGGAAGTCGGCTGGGAGAGGGTCGGGGTGGGGCCGGAGCCGACCTTGCAGGTGGACTCGCAGCCAGTGCAGGCGCTGCCGGCGGCCTTGGTGGTGCCGCCCGAGTAGACGGCCGGGCCGGGGACGGTGTAGCCGGACATGGCCGAGTGGATGTTGACGAGGATGCCGGGGTCCGACGACTTGTACGCGCCGGGGAACGAGACGGTCGCCGGGGTGGCGCTGCCGCCGCCGGTGACGGAGAGCTGGTAGCAGGTCATGTACAGCTGGGCGCCGCCCGCGCCGCCGGCGGTGTGCAGCGCGATGACCTCAGCGCGGAGGAGGTAGTCGCCGGGGGCGATGTCGGAGGGGATCTTAACGTCCATCTTGCCGCAGCAGGCGTTGAGGTCCTTGACGCCCCAGTAGTCGTCGTCGCCCGAGCCGCCGCCCGACTTCTTGGCCCAGCCGTCCTGGAAGACCTTGAACCAGCCCGACGAACCGTCGGCCGAGGCGGCGTCCGAGACCTTGGACATGTAGACGATCACAGGGCCGTAGTGGGCCCCGCCGATCGCCTCGTTGTTGCAGGAGCGGTCGCCGTTTTGCTAGGGTTAGAGTGTTAGTCTATGTTGTAGCTCTAGAGGTATCGGGGGCATGTCAAGTAAGTAACATACCTGGTGCATCTCGACGGTGACAGTGGAGCCGGCCTTGACGGGGCACTTTCCGCTGGGGCGGCTGGTGCCGACATTGCAGCGGACACCGGTGCCGCTCACGTCGGTGATGGGGGAGTTGGAAGAGGGGACACGGGCGCACTGGGAGCCGTAGTCGACGCCGTCAACCCAGAGTTGCTGGAAGGTGGCGTGGGCAGCGGCGTTCCCGGCCAGGGCGGCCAGGGTGGCGACGGTGAAGGACTTCATGGTTGCGAGGTGACCTGACGGGGTGTATGCTGTCGAGGATGAGGAGAGTCCAAGAGTCCAGAAGTGACAGCGAGGGAGGCCAGCGGCCGGTTTATATGACGCTCTGGCGTCGCATCTTCCAAGCCCACTGCACTCCTACCTCCGCCCTCAAGGTAACTCGCGTCCGCCTAGCGGACCAGAAGTTCTGACAGTTCGGGTCCCCATCCCGCTGGCGGCGCCAACGGCCAGTGACGCCTCCGCCAGTCCTCCAATTTCCATGCAGTTCTGCTGGGAGTCCCACAGGTCGAGGCGCTCGGCACGGTTTGGCGGTAGCCCCGTGAACAGAATCGGGCGTGACACCCCACACCAATACCACCCCAGAAGTGGTCCGGGGTACGTGAGGCCTTCCCAAACAGGGCGTTGTGGTAGGGGCCATTGGTGGGTTCGGGGTCGGTTAATATGCTGGATAATCAAGGACGGCAATGCGGAATGGAACTGCCGTGCGCTACAATCCCAAAAACCGGGCTGGCGGCGGGCCAGGTCCCGTCCCAATTTTGGCACCCCCTGAGTTGCGAAGAAGGCGAAGAAGGCGAAACTCGACTCCATAATGCCAAGTCTGCTGCCGATCGCTGGAGAGTCTCAGGTTGAAAATCGGGAGATCAACAGGGCAAGCGAAAATCAACCGCTTTCCCGGGATTCTGTTTTGTTCTGAACCGGGTCCGTGGAATCCTATTTTGAGCCTGGAATCATGGGGGTTCTGGAGCCCAAAACCACCGCCGATCTTTTCTCAACCAGGCAGAGGAAAGGTCGGAGTCAGTCGTGGCGGTTCCGGTACCACGGGGCCAGCCATATGCAAAGAGTGGCGCCGAGATGGCAGTCATGCCGAGCCCGATGCCGCTAAGGAGACAGATTGCTACCCCGGATTGTGAAAGTGCCCCCCAAAATAATAACTGTCAACCGGAAATGTGGCGGGCTCAGCCCAAGGGATGAAGTCATTGGCTTGCAGCGTGCAGACCAGCCTGGTTAGGGATAGCGAGGGGGACGAGCCTCCTTTGTTTCAACGTCTCGAATCGTCGTGGGTCCGTGAAGGCTGTCGGCCCTCGGATCCCGGCCGCCCCTTGGCCGTGGGGCGTTGGGCGCGAACGAAAAATGTTGCCGCCGGGCCTGTTTGGCGTTTCGACAGTGGAAGCACTGGCTTGAATGTCTGGTAAGCAACGTTGAAGCGGGAGTTCGGCCCCGGTCACGGCTGGGTCCCTTGGCTCGTGAGATAATATCCCGCACTCCCAGTGATGTATGAGAGTCAGAAAAGAGCGGCTTGCACCCCTTTTCGAAGCATCCTCCATCGCCAGAACAGGGCTGGCGCAGATAAAAAAGGTGTTGCAAGACTCAAAATATGACAACATGCGAAATATCATGGCAACATGCAATGAGAGACTTCAAGCAAGCCCCGCTCAAACAAGACCCCTTGTATCCAAAATAACTACAACATTGTACAAGCCATTAAAAAGATCCAATCGACACGTTACCGCCTGTGCAATCCGGCCTCTCCAGTTCGCCGCAACATAAACAGCCGCGTCCATCGTAGAAACTTACAACACTCTCACCGCTCATCCCTTCCCTCCCCTAAGTACGGCCTCCCTCTCAGAATCAAGCCGTCGACCCCCCGCTCCCCCCCAAAGACCTTTACTAAACCACAGACCACAAACCACGGGCCACGTAGGTAAGTAAACAAGGAAACAAACACCCACCACCTACCTACCACCTCACCCAATACCCCCCCACCCCCCTAACCCGATCCCTCTCCGCCACCACCACCCCCCCAACCCTTACCCCCACCCGATGCATCTGCCCCGACACGCCCCTCACCACACCGCCCGCCACACCGCCCCGCCACACCGCCCACCACACCGCCTGCCCGAGCGCGCAGCTACACCACGCACCCGCTCCGCTATCCCTTTTTCTGCCTGTTGGAGGTCCAGTGCGGCTTGCACGGCGGGAGAGGTGGGGCGCCAGTTGGGGCGGGCGAGGCTGACGAGGGTGAGGCAGGTGTCGCGGGCGTGGGTGTCGAGGGTGAGGTTGGTGTTGGTTGGGGTGGTTGTTGGGGTGGGGGGACGGAGGGGGTGCAGGAGGCCGAGGGGGAGGAGGTGGAGGGTGTGGTTGGTTAGGGTTGGCGGTGGTGTGTTCAAGTTGGGGGTGGGGATGTTGGGTAAAGGTGGGGGAGGGAAGTTGAGGAGGTGGGCTGTCACGAGTGGTTTGGAGGTTACTGAGGGCGCGGCCGAGGGGTTGTGTGGTGTGACGGTGATGATGGCTTCGTGCCAGATTGGGTCAAATATCGAAGCGGGTGGGCCTTGGGTGCTGTTCCTGGTTTTGTTCTTAGCGGGGAGGACCTGTGCCCAGCCGAAGTAGACCCCGTTGAGGCGGTATCGGATCTCGTCTGGGACATCGGCCAGGTTGGCAGTGGGTATGCCTAGCTCTGCTTGGCTGCGGCCGGTGCCGGGGACGACTCTGCCTTGGAACTGGAGCGGGAACGGCGGTTCGGGACCTGAGTCGGGCCCGATGGGGAAGATGACGTTGGGGTCGAAGGTAAGGGAGCGCGCGACGTGGGCTTGGTGGGCCGCAAAGTAGGCTTGGTCGCGCTCCGCGTCCCGTTCGGCGGACCGGTCGCTCAGCTCGTCGCGTACAAACCCACCGACCGTCTCGGTGATGAAGCCCGGGCGAACCTTGTTCATGACGCCTTCCACCGGGGCCCGGACGGGGGCGGTGTATTTGTTGACCGTTGTGGTTGCAACCATGGACGCCACGTAGAGTCCCATTTCTAATGGCATTGTACTCAGCGAGGCACCCCGGAATACGCTCGAGTCCGTAGAGGTGCTGGCGACGCGGAAAATGGGGCTGGTGCAAAGCGTCTGGCACCTGGATGATCCCTCTTTGATTTCATTGGGCACCCCCTTCCCCGTGCAGAGAATGAGGCGGAAGTATCCATCATCGGAAGCTTCGGGGACCCTGATAACATGCGTCTCCCTCACGATGTGGGCCTTTTTCGGCCCCTTCTCCTTCAACAGCTTCTTTGCGGCCTTGCCAATGTCTCTTTGCCAGGCGCGGTCCGTGTCGGCGGCGAGCTGATGTATCTCGACCTGGTTTGACGGCGTCACGTGCAGCCAGCTATCTGTGGCGTTGAAAAATGCCTTGATCTTCATCCCGCTGTCTCCCGAGTAGCCCCGTTGCTGCAGCCATAACGTGCGGTCCGCGGGGAGGGGATGATCTGGCGAGCTGAAAATAGTCATTTCCACGGAGGTGCTCGGTCCGCGGTAGAAGATAAGCGCAGGGGAGTGGCGGAGGATGGTGTAGTGCTTTGTCGACTCAGTCGGATGGGGGATCAGGCCTCCAGCGAAGTGACGTGCCTCCGTGAGGGCTGTTTGCACAAAGGTCTTCTTGCCGGCCCCGGCACTGGCACCGGGGCCGAAAGTGGCAGCCGGAGTCGATGGGTGAGCATCGAACGGGCTTGGGGAAGATGAATCCGAGTTTGGTGCGAACCCCCCGAGCCGTGACAACTCGGGCATGCTCTTTTGGGGCCGGAGGCCATGGCTGCGCGGAATTTGCAGAAGTGGTTCCTGCGGTTCCGCAGCTTCTGCGCCGCGTGAGACGGGCCTTGCCGGAGGTTGCACCCCAAGCCACAACTCTTGCTCCAATTGCGGTCGGGGTCGTGTTGGGAGTGGCGGCGGCTTTTCCTCAAACACCCATTCGGACAAGTCCCGGTCCGGCGTGATGGGAGAAGTTGGCGCGGTGGTGTTGTGATTACCGGGAACTAAGCGAGTTACTTGTTGTACTGGAGTATTGCCATAGCTGCTGCCGGTGCGCAGCGATTGCGGAGCCGGAATCGCATTATTCTCATTGATTGGCTTGCGCCGAATCTGCAATGGCGTTGCTGCCTCCATCAGCCTTTGGACACATAAAATACTCTCCGATGATAAGTCGGGTAAGTCTTGTTGGTTTCTTGTGAATTTGTTATACAAGTTCACCGTCGGCACCTCAAGGCTCAGTGGTTTGATGAACTGAGATCCGAAACTTGTCAGAACCCCTTTTGTCGTTACACAGCAAAGAATGTGGGCCACCTGCCGAATGCAGCAGTTGTTGACCAGAATTTGCGGGCTTAACCCTAACCCTGAGCTACTCGCATGGTAAATAAAATGAGCCCAAGACCGAAACGAGATTCGGGAGAGGAGACTCGGGGACCAGGAGACGTGATTGAACCCGGAGAGTTCCTGCAGTGTTTCTGGAGTTACTAGAGGTAGTTGAGGTAGATTCGTACATAGCTTGGGTGGATAGGTCGGTGCCCCAGCGGATTCTACGTCTACACTAGGCTCTAGGTACCTTAGCTAGGAGATAGGTACCGAGGTACCTGTCAAACTTTCTGACGGCAATGAAGCACCTGGTTCAAGGTGATAGAAAGCTTAGACATTGATTACCTACCTAGGTACCTTGGGCTTATTCGCCTCATTACCTAAGTTGAAAATGTCAGAGAGCTGATGTGAGTCAGTTAACGTCCTTCATTCGCACAATACCCATCAACAAACGAAATCAAGAACTGAGTCTCCCCCATCCATCCTTCTTTGATTATACCGAGGGAAAGGATCAGCTCGGGTCTGCAACTCGAAGCCCTCGGCAAGTTGCAAGAGACAGTGCGTCACGGTCCGAGCCCAGAACACACACGATCAACCAACACCCCCATCGTGGCGTATTAATTTGTACGATGCCGCAATGATCTACATGCCATTGCGTGGACGGCGAGGAATTTGGAAGATTGTGTTGTCTTGTAGTTATCTCCACAACCGCACGGCCGTTTTCCACCTTCCCCAGCCTGTGGGACCAAGGATGCTGACGCTTGTCTCGGGATTAACTCCTGGATTGTTGGTGGGTTGGCCAGGTAACGCGAGAAAAGCAGCCCCCTTCAGTCTTGGCGTGGAGTTCAATTAAACCTGCGTTGGCTGTGTTCCTCAACTCTCCAAACCAAACTGGCCACGAAACGCTTCCACAGCTCACCAACCGCATCCACTCATTCGAAACCAATTATTCGCTCCTTCCAATCACGCTCTTTTTAAAAATGGATTTCGCCATGCAGATTGACAGCTCCCGCAAGCGATGCCGCGACGAGCCGGAGCTGCATGGTGCCAATGACCAGCACCTCGCGAAGAGGGCGCGCCAATGGGACATGGACGCGTCGACGCGCGATTCCACTCCCAGCTTAGGCGAATCCACTCCCTCAACACCCGCGTCTATCGATGTCGACATGGAAGACACTCCCCAACAGGCGCCCACACAAGCGCCAAAGCCTGCGCCCGAACCTTTCCAGTCCGGCGGCGGAATGATCATCTCGGGATGGAACCAGAATCGCCGGGACCAGTACCTGCGCCAAGGCTACCCCTTGGCCTGGATGCAGAGCTCCACGCAGGTGCGCCGCTGTTTTTTAACCATCAAGAGGCGATGGTCATGCTAACTTTGGACCAGTGAGCTCAATTTAAGATCGATCGATTCGCTGCCGTCATAGGGCTGGAGTTGAGGTTGGGAGAACAAGACTGCCGGCTGGTGCGTCTTGAGGTGCCATTTGAGGTACGATTTGAGGCGTAATGGTGCCTTTTGTAATAGTTACATGTATTCTACCTGGCGAATGAGATGAGACGTCACACATTCCGAATGAAACGCGCTGCAACAACCAGTCACAACGACTGCCCACACACCAATCTCGGAATGACAAGCCCGTCCGGCCCTTCCCGGCCCCATCAGCCGCGAGTGCTAGCCGGAAAGTGCTGCCACCAAAATCTGTTGCCTCCACCCGCGTCACCTTGAGTTGGTCCACAAGCATAGAAATATTTTTGGTATGGGCAGGTCCCGGCGGCTTGTTGATCTAGACAATCTACAGCACTCCAAGGGATGATGTGCAGCCCCAGCGAGTGGACGGCAGTTCTAGATCAGAATATTATATACAGGGACGTACTGATGAAGTTGCAAGTCGTGTGGTTCGTATCAGTTAATGTTGGTGATTATTATGAAAAGGAGAATGAAAAAAGGAGTGCTCTATTTTTGATGAGAACAGAGGCTTCTGCGAGTCAACCTTCCCGACACTTTACTAGAACTCGAAGCCAATCAACCATCATTTTTCCCAATCCCCTTACCACCCAAGTCCCCCCCTTAGCTCCTCTCCAACCAACCAAGCGCCTTCACAATCCACCACCAACCATCGGCCCGAGAACCCTCTCCCACAACCGCCTCCTCCCATCACCTAAACCCACCCCCGACAGCATCCCATCCCCAACCCACTCCCCCCTCACCTCCCTCCACACATCCAACCACTCCCTCACAGCCCCCCTCCCCTCCCTCTTCTCCCACGGCCTCCCAAGATCATACAACCGCACCTTCACCCGCGCCCCATCATCGCTCACATACCCCCCCCATTTCGACTCGAGCGCGCTATACCCGCCCAGTAGCGACGCCACGCGCCCGCGATAGGCCATGACCAGCACGTCCTGCTCGTTGGCTCGGGAGAAGAAGAATTCGTTGAGCGTGCTTCGGAGGCGCTGGTATTGGGCTAGGGAAGGGTGCAGGATGATGGTGCTGGGGTGGGGGTGGCCGGGGGCGGTGAGCACTGCCGCGATGTAGTCGTTGCGGTCGCCGCCGCTGTGGTGGAGGCCGTGGCTGAAGAGGAGGGTTTGGAGGTCGTCGATGGGGTGGAGGATGAGGTGGTTGCTGTCGAGGAGGACGATGCGCTGCGTGTCTGCGGGGTTAGGGGTGGGTTCCGTGGTTGGTTTTTGTGGTTCGACTGTTTGGTTTGGGAATGGGTTGGTGACGGACCTCGTAGTCTGTGAGGCTCCAGGCTGATAGCTTTTGCCAGTTGCCAAAGTACCTCTTGCCTTGATACTCGGCAAATATGGTGTCGACAAACACCATGGTGATGCCTGCAGCATCAAGCACCGAGGTGATATCTGCATCTCTTGCCGCTTCGTTCGTCATGATCACTATCAAGGGATATTTGCTGCCTTGCTTTCGCAGCGAAAAGTCGAGCACCAGCACCCCGGGCAAACAGAGCTTATCGTAAAGCACTGTTGCCCAAGCACTGGGGTCGGTTGTTTCGGTCTCCAATGATTCCATCTTCTCTCGTAAACCCCTGGACTTGGGGTGATAAAAGCCTGAATCAATGTGGCAGAAAACAAATTGTAATAGCTTGCTAGTAATAGCTTGCTGGTACAGGGCTTCCTCACACTCAGCAAGTGTGAAGCCGCGTTTGCAAGGCCGGACTGCGCTCAAGTGGGGTTGTATGATGGTGGGTGGTCTTGTGCGACGGGAGAGTTCCAACCATTCAGCTCAACTGAACTTTGAGTGTGCTGGGGAACCCGGATTCGTGAGATGCCCTTGAAAAGTGCCTCGGTACGGAAGCAGCTCGGCTTTAAAAGCCGCGAAAGGTTCCATGTTAAGAAGTTATGGTACTTGTAGAATAATTGCAATGATTGTAACCCGGATTGTGACCCGACGGTCAATTCGGGATTTCTGAATACTGCGCTGGACGTGGCCAGGCTACCTAGGTTTCCATCAACTGCATCAATCATCACTTTGGTGGCCGTCATAACTTTCAAGAGCGATCCCGAAATACGGGTCGAGTTCAGATGAAGAGCTATGTCCCTATGTATTATTTTGTCCAAATAAAAAATGTCAGTTTCGAGGTCTGGTCCTCTCATGACCGCGCCAACTCGTTGCTTGTCGGCTCATCATCATGGTACAACTCCCGGATAACTCCTTACGAAGTACAAGTCTTGCATCGCAAGGGGTTCTCGGATTCAGGTCATTACTCATATTGAGAGCGGCGTGCCAAGGTCGCCAAGCAGATGAAGCTTCCGCCGATGCCGACCGGAAGTGGAAGCGAAGATACTTTCAGCTTACAAAGTCCCGTCGTGTGTAGTCACTTGGAAACGTTGTCGAGGCTTGTCAGTGATTGTGACGAGCCTTGAACTTGGAGTGATGTGTTGAGAGCGGAAGCAGAAAGTAAACAAATCGGCGTTGTTAGGAGAGATCAGAAGGGGGCCGCGAGCCAGGGCACTCTTCTGCTTCTCACGTGCCTTCGCTTAACGCACGGGCCAATCAATATTGCATCACCCTTGAACCCCCACCATGGTTGATTGGCCGACGCCCGATTTTCGGTTCTGATTTGGAAGATGTCAACTGGCGGCGAATGGAGAAGAAAGTTCCTCCCAATTTATCACACCTACCGTCGCTGCCTGGACTCTGCCTTTGTTTTGTTCTAGCAAACCTCGCCGTCTTCCACCGCACCCATCGCTTCCTTTGCGACTTTGGCCACGGACCCTTCATCGCAATCCCCGCGTAATCCCGTGCAACACATCTCCAGCATTCAGTCAAGATGGGCGAATCTCGGTTCGTTTCTCCCCGATTCCCGCAGAAGTCGACGACGCGCGCGATCGACACGCTCCAGGACGCAGGCTGACAGGCAATCCCTCGACAGGCAAGAACTCGTGCAATGGCTCAACAGCCTCCTGCAGCTCAACATCACCAAGGTCGAGCAGTGTGGTACCGGGTAGGTTGTCAGCCCCTCCCCCGCATCGCGGTCGCGCAAAAAATTATGTCACCCAGGCTGACCACGCAAACCACCACAACAGCGCCGCCCTCTGCCAGGTGTACGACAGCATCTTCCTCGACGTGCCCATGTCGCGCGTCAAGTTCAACGTCAACTCCGAATATGCCTACATCCAGAACTTCAAGGTCCTGCAGAGTACGTTCGCCAGGGTGCGGCCCGCGTGTTGAGTTGGCACCCATTTCTCACAAATTCCTGCTTGGATAGACACATTCACGAAGCACCGTGTCGAGCGGTCGATCCCCGTCGAGTCGCTCGTTAAGTGTAAGATGCAGGACAACCTCGAGTTCCTCCAGTGGACAAAGAAGTTCTGGGACCAGTACTACCCGGGCGGCGACTACGACGCCGTTGGCCGGCGGAAAGGCGGCGCTCTGCCCGCCGGTGGTGGTGCGGCTCCGCGGGCGGCTAGTGGCGCGGCGCGGCGCCCTGGCGGCACGACCCCGACCACAGGCCCTCGGGCCGGCGGCATCAAGGCGGGCGGTGCGGCGAGCGCGGCCTTGCAGCAGGAGAACAACACGCTGAAGGAGACGGTCGTCGGGCTGGAGCGGGAGCGCGATTTTTACTTCAGCAAGCTCCGCGACATTGAGCTGCTTGTCCAGCAGGCCGTCGAGGAGGACCCCGAGCTCGAGAAGCCCGAAGACGGGCTCGTCAAGCAGATCCAGACCATCCTCTACTCGACCGAGGAGGGCTTCGAGATTCCGGACGCCGGGGAGCAGGTGGTGGACGACCAAGAGACGTTTTAAGGGGTCGCGAGCTCTGACAAGAGTGGCGGGAGAGGTGGGAGGCGCGAAGGGGACGAGGGGGTTTGGTGGAAGCTTTGAGGAGGTAATTATCGGGTTACGGGCACGTCCCCCCGAAGCACATGATGCATATGACACTCAGCGCGGTCGGTCACGACTGAGGGCTTATCTTGGGATGGGGTTGCCCTTCTATACCCCGCACTTGTCTGGTGCTGCGGCGCCGCTACCCTTTGGCTTTTTAGCATAGTCCGCGCGCAATTAACCGTCTGCGAGAACATGACCGTGGACAGTTGGGATCTCTGGTGTTTGATTGATGTTGGTTTATTTTTGGGGTGCACGTGTTGTGGCCGGCAGAGGTACTATGCGCTTTTGACGTGCTAAACTCTGATACGTAATTTTTCCCATACACAACCACAACACCGTTAAATCTACCAGTCTGAGAGGCACGAGATCGCTCAAAAATAACAGATATCTATGAAATTCTGCTTCTTTTTCGTATATGGTACTCCATCCAACCCTGCTCCGGTCCCCCACCCCGAGCGTGCTCGCCCCGGCTCCCTCTGGCCAGAAAAGCCGAACTCGGGGTGGGAGAAAGAAAGCAAGAAAAGACAAGAAAAGAGAGAAAAGAGAGAAAAAAGTACAAAAGGAAGGACAAAAGAAAACTAAAGAAAACTGAGAAAGATGAATCAAACAAAAGAAATTGGGTAAAGTAAAAAGTAGTTATATATATATTTTTTTGTCCTCTCGTCAAAGGTTTCGTCGGCGCCTCCAAGTACACCTCAGCTTTTTTTGTCCATGGGACGCCCGGTTCTTAACCCCAACCCTGATAACAGTGATCTACCATTCCCACGGCCGCATGTAACAGCGTTTTCGAAGGATCTAAGCGTGCATTGAATAAATATCCGTTTTAAATGAATTGAGTAATGCAAATGCGATACATTCAACGATATTTGATTGAGCTGATGGATCTACCCAAGGGAAAAAGAAACGGATGTCAATAGGTAGGGTTGGGGTTATGTATGGGAAAAGTCACGTGTCATCCCCCAGCTCGAACGATATAAGTGCGTATGAGACAGACGGAGTGGTGCAGCGAGAAAGAGGGAAGAAGTAGGGGGCTTATACGAGTTAAAGGCAAAACGATTTGATCCGGATGTAGTTAGCGTGCTAAGGCCCTATAGGCCCAGTGCCTCCGGGCGAAATAAATTCCATCCATCCATCCATCCATCCGACAGACGGAGACCACTCTCTGCACGACGCGCCATGGGCGCCCCCCAGCCTGTCGCAGGTATCTGTCTTAGTCACGGCCCGGAAGTTTCATCAACCCTATTTCACACGTTAGCCCGGACAAGCATCTCCACCCCCCCCCCAAAATGCACCACCCCTTGAATAGACAAGAGAGAGGAATTGAAGAACATAAAAAGAAAAAGAAGACACTCACAGCCATCCGTCTGCTCGCGCACGGTCTCCTTAATCGTGCACTGATTCGCCACACTCATCGCCTGCTTGGTGATCGAACCGCAACCATCATAGAAACACTCAGACTTATCCATCGCCCTCTGCAAAGAATCACCTTTCCAGCCAAACATATAGTCCGCATGGCTTCCCCCAGCCGTTCCTTCAAAGCTCCAGACGAAGGGATTCGGCTGTCCCGACTGCCACATCGAGTTGAATTTGGTGGTGTCCCACACGGTTTCGTACGTGACCTGCGGCATGCGGACCGGGTGCGAGGAGGGGCAGGCAGGAGCGTTCATGAAACCGTCGTAGCGGATCGTGTTGTACATGTGTGATTGGTGGTCGGGGCTGTCGAGGTTCTTGCCGTCCCAGCAGCTGGGGAGGGGGGAATGAGGGGTGGTGGTTAGTTTGGTTATTCAAGGTGGATGATGTGGTTAAGGGAGAGGAGAGTAGGGAAGGGGCGGTGGAATGATGAGAGAAAAGGGTTAAACTGACGCGGGAAAATGGTGTGTGGTAAAGATGCCGCCCGAGCAGGGCCCCGTGGGGAAGTTGTCCAGCTCGCGGCCTCGGTTCTGGCCCTGCAGGCACTGGTAGCGGAGGCCGACTTGCGGCTTGCCGGTCACGGTTGGGCTGCCCACGGTCATGCGGAAACCCTAGGTAGGTAGGTACTCGCGGGTTAGAAATCTGGGGTGGTCGGTCGGGACTAGATGATATGTGGAAAGGGGGCTGGAGAGTTACCGGTTTGAAGGCCGTGACTTTCTGCTGGTTGAGATTATCCCTCGACAGGTCGAACTGGGTGTAGTAGACGGTGAGTCCACCCTGGGCGCCCTGCGAGCCGCCTAGTAGGGGCTGAACAGGGAGAACAGGGACGCGGTGGTAAGAACCGTTGGGGTGTTTGAAGTACAAGTGGGCAGTCCAGTAGTTCGAAAAGTCCTCAGCCATCTGGCAGGTTGTGCAGGTGGCCCTCGCGCCAACGTCACCTTCCATCGTGGCGTTGAAGGCGTTGCCGCCGACGATGTGGTGGACATGGGCGGCCGGGATGGCGCCCGGCTGGACGACGGGGTCGAGGCGTTGGATAGTCAGGGTCGAACAGGGGAAGCGGAGGCCGGCCTGAACAGGCGCGATCAGCGCGAGCGCTGCCGAGAGAGTCTTCATGTTGACAGCTTATCACTATAATGGGTCTACCAAGTCTGGTTCTGGAAGAGTCCTGGGGAGAAGAAGACGGAGCCTAGAACCTGGTCTCTCTGCTTCTATTGCAGCTTATATATAGCTCCCAGTCCTCGGCCCAACCCCGTGTCTCCCGTTCTCGGCATTTCGATGTTTGGGCTTCCATACACAAGCTAGAAACCTGAAATGCTCCCTTCATATACCGTGGCGAGTCAGCGACGGGTTGGTAATGAAGAACAGAGAAGGTGAGGCCAAGCGCCCGCGAATCGGCTTAACTTCGCTCTGCCAGGATCCTTAACCGGTGGTGTGGTTATGCTATATCAGCGACGGCAAATACCAAGACGACCGTTCGGATGCCGGCAAATGTGCTTTCAAGCTTCTCACTGCTGCGGGGAATATCACACGCTTGCTCGGAAGGCTCCGGCTCACCCGCCAATAGGGGTGAGCAGGGAGAACTGCGGGTGAGCTTTTCTCTCAGAGGATGCAAGAGAGGCGGTAAAAGCACAGGGGTAAAGTTGCTTCTTTTAATTGGACTAACTAGGTACCTTAGGTACTCCGTCTTTTCCTTTTTTAGAAATCCCCGGGACGCAATAATCGATATCCCCCATCGTAATTAGACACCCCATATAACGAATAGCAAACAACAATGTTCTTATCCCCCCTCAAGTCCACTCCTTTTCCCACCAAGCCTTCCTCCCGGCCAACAATCACGAATTCCTCCAATAGCCCGGTTACAACACTATCGTCATTTTCATAATGGTCCTAGACCATTTATCCTCCCGGTCTTGATATAGCTGGAGATGATTAACATAAGTCTTGCGTGTCTTTCTAGGTTGGGTTGCCGAATGAAGCATGTATGAGTATGGTGATTCTCTGCCCACAACGCGATCTGGCCCAACCTAGCGGGGGTGACATTTAGAGGTATCTGTGTTTTACTTGTCCCGAACACCATAAACCTATGATTCGATATCAGACTATCCAATTGGTGTGGTACCATTAGGATAATCATCAGCATTAGATGCCAGCTTCATGTCTATAAAGCGTCCAGGTTTGTTACGGGTATCTATGTGAGCCATAACTTCGTTATATAGCGAGCCCCTTTTTATAACATGACGGAGTTCTACCAATTTCTCCAATGTTATTAGGGGCTGGTGTATATGTTGGGTCAAATCCCAATGTGGCTGATGATGGTGTAGTCACTGTCGAAAAGTCCCCCCCCAAAAGAGTCCTCTCATTCTTTGCTAAAACTTATGCGAACTTTGGCAATCACCACTCTGACAGTGTGAGTGGCAACCAGATGTAGCGTGTAAGTCGTAACCGGATATGTCGTGGGAAGAGGTTCCGATGCTGCCTAATTCGCAAGCCTTTAAAGTTTCTAATTTTTGATAGCCTGCCTAATTAGTTGGGGGTAGCCTAGGTTTAATGGGAGGCTACTTTTCTACTTGTCGTATATTCTTTCTTTTAACTGTCGTGGAAGGTTTCTTGCTCGTGTCTGGAACTCCGGCGGGTTCTACGGGGCAGGTACGGGGAAACTTGGAGTCGTGTTTTCGGTCTCGTATGATTGACTTTGCTGAAGTGTCTGCTGGATGTGAGCGATGCTAGTACTTTGGCTTTTGAGCGAAATTTTTGTAAGTGGTCGGGAGTGTCTTAATGTGCTGCTCCAGACCTAACTCCCTAACTCTCTCCCTGATATGTGCCGAGTATCGTGTCCGGGGCTGGCCCCCGCCCCCCCCCCCCCAGCTTCCGATACCCAGGAACCCCACTCGTGATCCTTATGCCGTGGGGGCTCAGCCAACACACTGCCACAAACTGCCAAGCACAAACTACCTATGATTGGACTCCTGGAGAGTTGTGCTGAGCTCACCTGACCACATACCAAGAAGCGATACGCAGTATTTAAACGTCTCTCTCTGATGCTCATTCCAACCAATTTCAACTTTGAGAACTCAACCCATACATACATACCCTTAGTGATCAAAACAATGTACAATTATAGGGTAAGAAGCTACCTACATTTCACCTACATCTAGGCCAGACCTCATCAACTACTGTGTGTATTTCCTTACAAGTTACAGGGCTCAACCACCACTCTCCGCATCGGGGCCCATGTTACTCATGCCGGCTTCGGCCGCACTTGGGAGATTATCGCTATCCCAAACGCGACGACGGTGCAAATTCGGGATATAAGCACGCTTCAGACAATATATGCTGAGAACCATGAGGTCTACCTAGTGTGACCGATCATCTATGATAATCTCCTCCGTCGAGAGCTGCTGGAGGATGGCGAGCATGGTAACACGGCGCGGGGTAGCAACGCAATGCCAGCATAATGGCAACATTCTGTACCTAGGTACCTTATACGAGGACAATTCTGGATAGCATGGCAGGATCTCAGATCCGACTACAAATTGCCATAGTATTAACACAATGTCGGTGGTTAGTTATCGCGGTTTTTCTCCTTGCTCTCCCCGCCATGCACGTCGAAGCTGTCAAGATGATTGCCAGTGTTTCACATGTTCATCACATTCTCATTTGACTTTGAGCTTAGAGTCAAGTTACTTTCGCGTCGTAGAACGGGGACTTGTGTTTGGAAGAGCCCAGACCAAGGTAACTGCCGGGGATGGAACTCAACACTAGCCATCCCCCCATCCATGATCCATCCCTCTCTTAGCACGTCTCCGTGAGCGAGGTCACGAAGCACGAAACATCGTCAGGGCCACTCCCGAGCTTCTCCGAGCTACCGTCTCCCTTCACGACACCCTTGTATCTGTCGCACGACTTGCCGTCAGTTTGGCACGAGTTCGAGATTTTGCAGGTATCTAAGCTCAACGTTAGTCCAACGAGTTCTGTACGTTCTTGGATCTGACCGAACTTACCGCCAAAGTTGCTGTTGATCCCGCACAGTGGTCCACCGTCTTTGGCGATGACGCCGTCAATTACCACATGGCGAGGTCCTCCATTAGCAGTGCAGTCACCGCAGCTCCGCATAACTTTCCCATAATCCTCGGCATAGAAGTCCTTGATGGACACAGTTCCGCGGCCGTTAAATTGGAAGACCTTGTCCGAGGCGCCACGAGCTCCGCCGCCAATGACGTACGACGTCTTGCCTTCGGCCTGCTTGAACGTGGCGGCGTCTTCGCAGACATCTTCCCACCACACGTTGGCCAAGGTGCTATGGATCAAACAGTTAGTGGGACGGCTGGAGTTGAAAGCAGGAATCTTGGGGGTATACGGACCAAGCACCCCGGCAGTGGATACCTTCACCCTGGGCCTTGCCAATGACAACGTTGGAGATGCTTCCGCCGTCCTCGACGATAAACATGGCCGCATCCTCATCCGTCTCCGTCTGGCCCTCGCAGGTGTCGGCTGTAAGACAACGTAAGTCGGTGGTGTGTCCAGGCTCTAGAGTCCACACTTTTGCTTACGGTTCCGGTTGTACCTCTTCATGCCTCCGTCGAACGCCCCAGACACGACCATGGGGGTAGGCAGGGCAGTCTCGCCGCTGGCTGTCGGGAAGGTAGTTGTCGCCGCACCAGCCACGCCTGCGGCCGCGCTGGCAAGGGACATGGCGAAAATAGTAACAGATTTCATTTCGAAGAGGGTTGGAAAGGGCTTGTGACTGGGGTTGTTCTTATGATCGGATGACAAGTCTGCTGTGGTAGGAGAGCCGAGAAAGAAGCCGGCTGCCGTTGCCATTTTTATAATATATAGGTACTTGTATTCTTTCCTCGATGCCAATGTCTTTCTGTTGGAAGTAGTGCTTTATCTCATTGGCGGGAAATTGGGCTTCGTTCGTTCAAAGCCATGAGAAACGTAGCTAAGAGTGATCATCATTCCTGCCTTCCTTACAGGGTTCGAATTTGGGGCGGAGGACCGACTCTACGGGGCCGGAAAAATCCCCATGGGGTTTGAATCCCGTGCCCAACATGAGTCAAGGGTTTATCGTTAACCAAGGTAGTTACTCTGCAGTATGCTAAAGCTAGGTACTTTGGTGACCTCCAATCCTTGGACCCGCGGCCCAGGGTTGTCTGTGTAAGTCCCTCATAGATAACCGCGGCTGACCTTAGAAAATCGGCCACCGTTTGGTTGCAGATTTAGTTGTTACGCATTGGACAGTTTTGTATTTCTTTTTCGAAGTGAATGTTTTGTTATAAGGAACTCTCCGCCTATTAAGGTAGTTTGTAAGGGTTTCCCGAGGCTGGATGTATTCAAAAATCACTCGGAATGCTGACGTTAAACGCAAACTCAAAGTTTACGCCAAGATACAGATACATGTAGACCGCAGGTGTGAGCCATGCAGGCGAGACTGCAATATCCCCACCTGAAAAGCTCACTCTTGTGCGGTTGGCTCCTTATAGTTCGTCCATATTATCGGCGTGATTAGTTTATGACTAGGGTGTAAGGTAAGGAGCTGATCGACAATCGTTTCGACTTGAGAATTCGGTATGGGGAAGGTTTATCCGTCTTGGAATCTCATAGGCGGGATATCTGGCTCCGGTCTCCGTTTCATGGCAAGACTGCCACGGTATCGACTTGGAGCAGCACCCCCCAATCTCTGGTCAAAAAGAGCCGATCTTCGAGTGGAGGTGCGGCCGAATCCTTGGACTGCCTAGGGGAACGAAAACAAAGCCATGGACATCAAAGTTTAGGTACTTTTTATTTAGTTACCGGATTTGTTTTACTCCGTTTTATTTACCTCTTCTTTTTCTTAGTCGACCTTTTACATCTTTCTCTTTTCTCAATTCTTTTATTGCTTCTTTCTCTTTTCTTGGATTTCTTTACTTCTTTCTCTTTTTGGGGGTTTCTTTCCGTCTTTCCCCCCTCTGAAT